GGCGTGCCTCGCACCGTCGAGAATAAACAATTTGTTTATCGTTTATTCAGTTAGGAATATATCTGCGGCGGCATGAGGGGATAATTCTCCTTTCCGTGACCTCTATGCTGCAGAAGGGCTACAAGAATGATGTCAAATAGTGGTAATACAAACATGTGATAACTGACTGGAACTATACTGCACCGTAATTAGTAAATAATTATTTGATGGGTTTCAGTCCATTTGATCCGTCTGGCTTGAACACTAGTGTCAGTGATAAGAGCACCACCACGGATTTGCCGTTGAATTTGTCGTTCAGTTAGCACGAATCTATCCACAGTGTACATATGTCGCAAAACCATCACCACTATCGTTTTCGTTATGAAATAGTTATAATGCATTTAACCTCAGTTGTAGGGCACAAAAGCAGTGTAGTTGAAAGACGGGAGCGAACAACCCGAGTGGGAAGAGTAACAACGACGTGAATGAGATGAATTTCTAAACGTAAAGCTACGTATGCACCAACGTCCAAATACATGCATATTATTGTAGAAGAAATCCGCGTGCGTCATAAAGCCCTCGGATCACAAAGCTGCGTCTGATTCCTTTTACGTTAAGTGGACAATAGGCATTACACATCCACATTTAAGCACTGCACAAGATATAGAATAGCCAAGGTGAATTAACTATGCATAGGAACAGGAAGACTAATTGCATTGTCCTTAAAAGGTTTGGTTACGAAATACTAAATAAACTCAATGGATTAAGGATTGCAGTTTACTCTCTTAAATGCAAAACAGCGGAACGAATGAATCCTTTTCCGTCGACAGCATTGACAAGAGTTATTTTCCGGAAACCATGACACGGCGATAAGATTTCGTAAGGGAAAAACTAAGTATAATTCTCTTGCAGAAGACGAGTGGAATTACTATTGCATAATATAACTAGTAAGGTTTAAAACTTTTGTTCACGTGAGTTTAGAAGAACGCATGAAGCCCGAGCATTATTCTGGCTTATCGTTCACAAGTTAATAGTTCGTGAGCGCTGTTGTGTTGCATCACCCTCTGAACCTGGTGGTCAAAGTGACACGATTGAAGAGCGGATAACTTGTCATAAACTACTGCAAGTCCAACTTGAACTACCCACTTGGGTGCATGAACACCCAGTTCGTAACCTTATTCGCTACCTGAGAAGAAAATGACTAGGACGTGGTCTTAAGATCCTTCCTAAGGCTAAGGTCCGATGGGAATCCTTTAATCGATTGGACTTTGTGGGGCGACAAACGAGTGTTATTGTGTCTTAATTGCAGACGTTGCTTGAGAAGGACTGAATATATGGATATAGCGCATAGTGAGAGGGTGTCCTCGCCTCGCAGGCTAATCACCATCAGTGACAGTGAAAGAAAGGTGGTGCTATATCCCAGTTAGTTTGCAAATTATGTAGTCCAGCCAATGTCCCCCATGGCTCAGTGTCTTAAGCTGCTGGCTAGTTGGCATCTGGATCTATCAGTCATGGGTTAGATCCTCAGAAAGAGAACAAGGGAATGCGCACCACTGACGAGCCTTAATAGGGCGAAAAGTGTCTGGTGCTTTCCCGGACTATGCTTTGCTATGTAGTATTGGAAATACTGGGTGGAAAACTTTAATAAACTTACAACTAAAATCCTTCTACTTACCAGTACTATGAACACTGTTTCAAGAGCATCCACGGGTTTGGGCCACAGGTCCCTAAGTTAGAAAAAGTACCAAGCATACTCCGCTAGGTCAATTATTTCGAACAAGTGATATACAATGTACGTAATTTCTAAGTACAACTTTTATTTATCATGTTGAGGTCTCAAACATTTGATATTGGAGGTAGCGCAATCTTCTAGACATGTTTAGAGGACCTTGTGTGTTAGCCTGTAAGTAGGAACTCATAAAATGATTGTCCACGCTACGGTTCGAGCTGTGCGCTTGTCGGTTTTAGAGGTGTTATAGTAGGTCAAAATTTGAAAATGTGCTGAGGTGTACCAAAGTAGAGCGAATGAAAAGCAGTTTTTATAAATGTGATGTAGTTGCTTCCACCGAAAATTTAAGTAGGAATTCCATACCAAGTAGGAAACCGAACAGAACTATGTTTCCAACAGCGGAAATTGAATAAAACTGAACTCGCATAGCTTAAAATGCATCAAAGTGCAGATGGAATCAAACGTCTGTGTGGAAACATTACGCGTATCGTTTAAATTAAAAACAATTTCAACAAATCCATTGTCTTTACATGAGGCAGCAGGATGTATAATAAACATTAATGCGGATCATTCACTGCACCTTTTTTAAATCAGATAGTTTCTATAGACCTCGATTAATACTAAAATGTGCTTTTAGCCTAACAACAATTATCGGAAGTAAGCGCCCGAAGGCTCCATCTGTACACGAACCCAATAACTCGAGCCGGTTACACCAATACATTAGGCAACCATATGAGACGGCAGGCAGTCATGTCTTACATGCAGTTTGGGATATGAGGCGAAAAAGCGTCCACTGACACACATTTTGCCTGCTCCAAAATTAAAGATTAGTTCCGTAGCCGTTAGGAAAAACCCCCGGTTTTCAATCCAGAATACCAAAAACGCATGAATAAAACCCGGAGTTTTGATGTTTCTCTTGCAATGAACAATAAATTTTGAATTTTTATATTTTTTTTTGAATTTTTGAATTTTTTATGAATTTTATTTTTTTTATGAATTTTTATACGGGGTAAGAAGCGTTGCTTTACAAGTCCCGTTGGATAGTTGGTGGGGATATCAACATAACAATAATGATGGTAAGGATAGTAAAATAGTCACTACTTTAAATTTGAAAATAAGGACTTATCGTTTGCTTCGCTCTAGTCCTGCGATCCTCTTAGATTCATAGCACCCACAGTTAACAACCAATTATTCCATGGCATACTCCAGGCGTAGGATGGAGACGTAGTGTTAAGTATCAAAGTGTAAGTGGATGAGTGCATCATCCAACCGCCTTTTAAATACCGTTAGTGTTGGTGCAAAGACGACCGATTCCGGGAGAGCATTCCACGGGTGATATACACGAATGGAAAAGAAATTTCTGCGGCACTACAGACGACTGTATTGTTCTGCGAGTTTCAATCAGTGGCCCCTCAGGTTTGTATTGTTGCTGAGTTAGAGTAAAGGGTGGCACACATGATGTGGGTCTCGCAAAATCAAGTATGTCATAATCAGGTCGCCTCGTAATCTGCGGTAGCTTTCACTGAACAATCCCATTCGTTGCAGCCTCTCCTGGTAGGAAAGATTGCGCATTCCAACTACGTTCTTAGATGCAAGGCGTTGTGCCTGCTCCAGTGCATTAAGGTCGTGTTTCAGCCATGGATGCCAGGCTTGAATTGCGTATTCGACATGGGGGCGTACATACGCCCTAAGCATTTGTAGAAATATGGAGCTGTTTATTTGTCCAAAGGCCCGCCGCAACAGCCCGGCGTGTAGGTTCCCAGTTTTCAAGGCCTTTTAGGGTTGCCTGGTACAACCCAAGTCATCTTGAACCAGGGCACCCAATTCACTTTCCAGAGTTGCTTGTTGTAGTAGATTCGTTCCAAGCCGGTATGAGTAGCTGCTCTGAAGTCGGATGGAAAGCACCTTGCATTTATTGACATTGAAATGCAATAAATTTTAGTTCGTCCATTGATACACCGTATCTAAATCACTCTGAAACACATGTTGGTCGGAGTTCGCCTGCATCCTGCGCCAGATTTTGATATCGTCAGTAAACACTAGGAAGTTTTAAGCGATTGCCTGTGCATGGTCATTAATAAACACCAAGAACAAACGTGGACCTAGAACTGTACCTTGCGGCACACCAAACTCAACTTGTATAGGGTACGATAAAGAGCTCCGAACTCTGACTACTAATTGCCGTTGAAGTAGAAAGTTGGCGATCTAGCTCAAAAGTGGGTCGCGGATCCAGTAATGCTGCAGCTTGGCTAGTAGTATCCGATGGTCTAGACGATCGAAAGCCTTGTAAAAAAATCCAAGTAGATCACATCAACACCTTCTCCAGCGTCAGCTGCCTCAGTCCAACTACTGTGTGCAATTAGTAAATTCGTTGTACATGACTGCTGTAGACGGAAACCGTGCTGCTCAAGCGTGATGATGTTGCAGTTTTGCAGATAGCACACCAGTGCATCGGCAACCAATTATTCCGTGATCTTGGAGAGTATAGGAGGAAGGGATACTGGGCGGTAGTTGGAGGGATCAGTTCTGCTTCCACGTTTGTTAATCGGGGTTATTATTCCTAGCTTCCACATGATGGGAACTTGGTTCTGGTCTAAGCAGCGCTGGAAAAACTGAGCTAAAGGTCCTGCCAGTTGGCTTGCTGCTGTTCCCAATGCCTATGGACGAATGGTGCCGACACCCGGCGAGCTGTGTTTGCGTAGATAAGTCAGCTTGTGCAATACAGCGTCTGCGGTAAAAGTGATGTGGGTTAGTCCTGGCGAGCAGAAGCCAAGGCTTGGTAGATCGCTTGGTGGCAAGACTCTTTGAAACGTAAGGGCGTATTGCATCTGCAGCGCGTTTGCTGCTTCCACAGCCGTTATTGTTGGGCCATCAGCCGTCTTGAGTGGAGAAACTCCTGGCCTCAACTTTCGTAGGCTATTAACGTGTTTGTACAGTAGTTGTTGCGATGTTCTGCTGATACAAGGCTTTGTCTTCTCTTACTAGTTGAGTGCAGTGGTTTCGTTGGGCTACGTAGTTGTCCCAAATTTCTTGTACTGGAGCTTTTCTGTACACTCGCCATGCTGCGTTGCATACTGTCATCCATTTTCGAGTTCTGCTCCTAACGAAAGAAACTGATTTGCACTTATTGCAAGCTTTTATCTCTGAAGCCTCTGCAATCAGCCGACTGAATTTTTTGACGAACTCGAGCTAGGCGACTTCCGGGGGTTCTTCTTCGAGGAAAGGCCAAGTTGCGGCGCTGCCGAGCTGGGCTAGTCGATCGTACTTGTGATGGTTCGCACCGTCTCATCTTTAACATTCAGATATTCTGCATGGCAGACAAAGTTGAAACTGATCACGGCGTGATCACTGCGACCCAACGGGCAGTCTAAAACCAACGCACCAATCATATGCTCCTCGTTGGTAAGCACAAGATCTAGCACAGATGGCCTGTTACCAGTTCTGAACCGAGTGGACAAAGTAATGTGATTGTAAAGAGGAACAGTAGTTACTAGATCTTGTAGATCGGTTTTGAATTGTTCTCCGATCGTGGCAGGGGCTTCTGAACAATGTACGTTGAAATCACCCATGATAAGAATGTGAGTGTACTTTTGTTGTAAACTGCACCTTAAAGCAGCCGCTAGGTGGTAGTCCGTTTCAGGTGTTGAGTTAGGGGCGCGGTACACCAAGACAATAAGGCAAGCGTCCCTGCCTTTTAACTGCAAGCGGCACCATACAGAGTCGGGAACTGCGAGTCTGAATCCTCCACAGCTTCGCACGGTAAGTCGTTTCGGTAATACAAGATTACCCCTTTTCCTTTTGTGGGCCTGTCGTTCCGGATCAGTGACATGCCGGGTAGCGAAACTTCAGCGTCCGTCATTCCCGTGTGCACCCATGTCTCGGTGATAACAACGACATCATACGACCCGGAAGCTTGGCGATCTTTCAGTTCAGCCAGGTTGTTAGAAAGACCCTGAGCATTCGTATACAAGCAGGCCAGTTTCTCGGTCGCTAGGAGCCAACAGAGTGGTGAAGTGGTCACGTGTGGGAGAATGCCGACCGATGGGAGGTCGGCAGTTACTCGTTTTTTTGATGGACAAACGAAGTCGTGCAGTGCGATAACAGCCAGGTAATGATATTTTAACTCAGTTAAATAGGCTTATTTGGTAGTCGAATTCTCAATGAGGTCGAAGTGAGTGTTCTGTGCTGGTTTCAACAGCCTTGAGCAAACTTACGTTGTTACTACTAGTATCCCAAAGTTCACTGATAAAAGAACTTTTAGCTGCTCTTATCTTGCGTGTTGGTGCCGTAGGTGGAATGGACGAACATATCGTGTTTCAGAATATACAGGTATAACTGCACATCATAAGCTCACTGTGATAACTGAAGCTACAATGAAGCAAGGAGTATCAATATTACTGGGGCATTACCGTATTTATTGGAGTTACACTATTAACTTTTGTCCGTTATCTAAGGCACCGAGTAATGGCAGTGGCGAAGCTGCCTTAGGTTTTCCAGTTATTTGTCGACGATATGGCGTGGAAACTGTTAAACCAGTTAATTAGTCTCAGCCATATAGTGCTCAGTCCCCCTTTGGCACATATCTACATCCAGATGGAACAACTTTGCACACCCTTGTTATCATGAGTAAAGCAACTCACCGCCCAAGGCCACGAATTTGGCTTACTGATTTCACCACCCAGGATTTTGAAAGCTGGTCCCACGAATTCAGGTCTCACACCACAGTTGTTTAACATTGCTAAAGAAAAAGGAAGCACGAAGCATTAGTTGAAAAACCAAAGAAATATGTCATGCACAGTCGCGGTAACGGTTGGTCAGAAGTAACATGTACTGCTACTTTATTCTTATATTGTACAAGGCAATGTATATTTTAGTGTATTTTTGGAGAAAGTAGTAGCCACGATTAAACTTTGCATAATAACCCGCCTCGACGACGAATCGCACCTCGGACACACGGATTACTGATCTGCTGCTCTACCAACTGAGCTACCGGTAGCTCAGTTCTTGTGATCCAGGGTAAATGGGCAGAACGACGAGGTGCCTGTCTGAAATGGTGAAATAGCACCATCCGGCTTGTCTCATAACCGCTTGTCGAAAACAAACCAACTCATCCATAGCCACTTACCTCGCCAAAACTGGCCACGCCGCCAACTTGGCTGTTTTTCAAAGTGATCTATCTGGTAACAGACGATCGATCAAAGTGCGTTCGTAAGCGTTTGCTTGAATCCGCGGTGGCCATCTAGATTCGATTGTACTAGCCGGAGTTGTGAGTTCAGAAAAGGCTCCTTCAGACGTTAAAATAGCCCTGGCCCACCCAAACTGCGACATCCGGCTCACGAAATGGAGTGTACGCCGCATTTGTGCCCGAACGGATAGTGATTGTGCTTGCTCAGTGACTGTGAACTGAAGTTGTCTTACATACCTTTACGTGGTGTAAAACATGTTGTTTGCTTGCACATGTCATTGCTTGCACATTTAATTGTACAACCCCGAAGGGGATTTATTGAAAACATGTTCGCTTGCATTGACCTTTATTCTAGATGTCAGCAGCTACTTGCACTTCGTCACGGGTGATCGCTGCGGACCTGCGTGAGTAGTAGTTAAATATGGTATAGTCCGGCTCTTCTTCCACTGTCATGTCAGTCAAAAACTGTGCAAAGGACAGTGGCTAGCCTAGCATTTAGAAGTCATGAGGGGAGGAACCCGGCAGGGGTCCGCTGGGAGTCTCAGCACTGACGAGATCTAGAAGGTCTAAACGTCGACGTCTGGTGCTACTCCAGACAAGCCTAGGCTTGCTGATTGAGAGTGGTAATGATGCATTTGCTGAAATGCCAACTGTTGAGCAAATATCATCAGTGTATCTGCAAACATCGAGTTGGGAATTAGCAGTTTCAGGTTGCTTGCCAGGAAATTGACCTAGGATGATCGAAACAAATTAAAAGCTATCCTGATGAGCAAGTCTGCACCTTGAACTTTGTCGGAAGACTTTCGAAAGTTTCCAGCCATCTAACCTTCTGCAAATTTTAAGTTATGCATGTGGTCCCATGTGATCTAAGCGATCCAAGCTCCAATGCAACATCGCAGACACGGGGTTGGTGCCCTCGGGACTCCACAACTCAGAGCAACTCAATCCGTTAGAGTTTTTCCATCCTCCCAACAACGCAGTTGCAAGGCTTTGCAGTTTGTAGCGGTGAATAGCAGCGTCAGCCGGCAGACCTCATCTTGGTTTAACTAACAATGACGAACCCAACCTACTGCTATTAATAACGTTTGAAACTTAGCCAGAACATTAAACAGTGAGGGCACCAGTTCAGACTTACTACGCACTGGAGTCGACTAGGTTGTCGAGAAAACATTTTCTTACTTTCAGGTATCCAGAACCTAGAACAGTCTCCTAACTCATGTCTTTTTGGCTCCAATACTAACGCCATTACATAAAACGCCATACCGACATACTATCCCACCTACACTGCATGATACAATTCTTTTCACTCGGGAGACAAAATAACTTTAACTTAATTGTATGCTCACCGGCCCCGTCCGTGAGGTAATGGGAAGGAAGCCGACATAGGTGATTATGTGTGTCGCTTAAAACCCAACTTTCTGTCAAGTCAGCCAGTGTAATTTTGTATCCCACTCCCTTCCGTTGGGTACTTATAAAAAAACATTTTTGTCCATTAGAAATCACTGGTCATTGCCTATTAGTTCGCATGGGGAGAAAGCGCTGAATTTACGGTGAATAAAGGTAAGCCTAAATGCAATGAAATTTAAGGCAGAGTTCCAGTGTTTGCATCTAATCTCTTGGAGATTACACATAAATACCTAAACTAACCCATCTGGGTAGGCTAAATTCTAACCTCTAGCGTACTTAACAGAAGTGAACATGCGCACCCGAAGATGGAGATGTTTAGACATGCTCTACTAATGCATTTACGTAACGGCTTCCACAAAAATTCGTTTCAATAGCTTCGTCACAATTTTTTACTATTTCAGCAAAAAAGTGATTTCTCCCAAAAATTGTTTTTAAATGTTTAACCTCTATGGTTGTTAGATGGCAGTTTTTAATGAACCAACATTATCTTTGCTATATTTTTACCGTAGTGCACCAATGTGCCTATGTGCTCATTTCTAGTCGCAAGTCAGCAAGAAAACCGAATTACTGCGCATGTAGGGTGAGCCTTTGCGAGTCAATTATGCCGACGCATTGTTCCCAGACTTCCGCCAGATAACAATTTTCATATGCCACATGCCTTATTATAAACAAGCTACCAATACATGCCACAGCAATTTAATGCAAAAGTTTTTTGTGATGGAAGCCGTGATGTTGCCGAGTGCACTGAACCAAGCTGGTTCATTTATGATGAACTATTTTGGTAGGATGGCAGAGATGTATTCAGCTACAAATATGCGACACCCAACGTTTATCAAAGGTAAGTGTTCAACTAGATGTTCTATCAGTTTTGCCATGCTGTATGATTAGTATTTCACAGAGATTTAGCTGAGGACAACTAGTGATCTTTACGCACAGTCTGCAGGATAAGTGACTGCGACACGGCAAACATACACTTTAAGAGGTAGAAATTAATTCTTCAAAATTACCTAAAACATCTGTTAAATACCGGTCTATTTACTCACGTTAAAGAATCTATACTTACCTGGTGTTGCGCAAGCACTTTTATCTAGACACACGCGTATTTCTGCGTAATATTTACTTGCGCAGTTTAATATCTTGGAGCTGTTTAATCTCGGATGTAACCAAGAGTCATCGATACATTCTCGGTGGCGATGTTGAGTACAGTCAGGTCTTTCACAGTGCGACCATTTGGACCAATTTCCAAACATTTCCAAGTTGAAAAAGATAGACTCCACCGTTGATGCTTGAAATATTTCTTGATTATTGTCACCGGGGTTTGACTTCGGTGGGGTGAATGAAACAAAAAAGGAAGCAGGTGACAAAAAGAAAACTTTGAGAATGTAATCCCGGATGTATTACCGGGATGGAGCGCGTGAGCGCTTGATACGTGTGGCTAATAGATGCTAAATTGCAGGCAACTGTGCTCCCCGCTACAGCGTAGCGTGACGACAGTGAAAACATTAAAAGATAAAAATAGCAAGCATTATTGTAACACATTAGTTTACCAAACGGAAGAGATGCTCACGGAACCCCTGCCATTCAATATCAAATACATAGTTTTAACAGCTACCATTCTAGACTGGTGAATTTATTTCGCAAAAGTACATGTATGGCAATGTTTCTTCTCTTGACTGAATGCAGTTGTCATCTGTATAGATTTGGTGGATCACGATAACATATGCTTGAATTTGATCGATCCTAACCAAACAGGAAATTGAAACTTGCCAGCGTAGGGTTGGCAGAACGTAGAGTCAGATGACCACCACGCAAACAGAAACTTCAGCGTGACACGACATTTATTTCATCCGGCAGAAGGAGCTGCTCAACTTGGTAAGATGCTGACGTTGCACTTTTAATGCCTTCAAGTAGTTTATTGTTTTCCTTTACATTTTCTGGAAGCTACTTTGAAAATGTTTACTAGTTAAATAACCAACCATTTGTAGATGAAACGAGAAGCCCGAGGAGCCAAAGCTAACAAAGGGCATCCACAAAGAAAACGTAATCTAAATAAGTTAAAGCAACTGGACTAGTGTGTACCGATGATTTATTCTGTTGTGTGTATTTTAAGATGCACTGCATGCTATTTCCCTCTTCGCTGTCACTGTATGGGAGAAATAATGCCTGTAATGCAATTGTTGAACACAGCTAATAAGCGAACTTGCGCTGTAACTACGAATACTCTCGTTAGGGCCTAAATGAATGCCTAGTTAAAATACCATGCAAGCAAATACTGAATATAAGCTAAATGTACATTTGGCAGACTTACCTGAACGTCCTCTCCTTTAAATGTTCCAGTATTACTCTTTAAGCGTACCATGCTATTCTTTCCCTCTAAATGTATACTGCTGTGAAGAAGAACATTCTGTCCTGTTCGGCCCATGTGAGCGCTGCCGAAAAGGCGGTTGTTACTGTTTTTTCCTGCCTGGGCCGAATGTGTAAAGCAGAACAGGCACGATGCGAGGGTGATCCACAGTACGAGATTCATAGCTCAAACTCAGCTACGATCTTGAAACGCGAGCGCTGTCGATCAGATTCGACAGCGCTTTTATTCAATCCAAAACCTAAGCAATGTTTGGTGCATCGCACTGCAACAATAGCAAGCTAAAATATTTGTGCTTTCATCAAAACAATGCAAAAGTTCAATTGAAAGCGGCCAGATTAAGTCTAAAGCACATATTTTCATCATTTATAATCGATAGATGCGGCGGGCAACAGAAACGATTGTGTGCCATTGCCTAAGTGTTAGTCCACATTCTCTTTGGACAAAAACCACAATGGTTCAATGTAATCTATTCTGCATTCCTTACAACTGATACACTCGTTTGCATAGTATGGTGTTATACAGAAGCACAAGCGCTTGTCTAGGTGCTTTGTTGGACTCTGCGAGTGAAGGGAATTTTGTATTACTTGAAAAATTTGACTAAGATATAGATTTCTAGCCGAAAAGCACACCGACACACTGAAATTGTGTGATTTGATTCAGTAAAATGAGTCTTCGAGTCAATGGCAGTACGATGAACTTCATTGCACACAAATCACACTTAGCCTACTCTCTACTTGTAGGTTCGTAATATCTGTGTCAACTAGCATTCAAACAGCATTGTTGTTGCAATATTTAGAGCATTGGAAGAACCTCAAAACTTAGTCGATAGCGAGGACGCGCAGGATATGTGTCAAATAGAGAACGGTAGAGAAAGTCAAGGCAGCTAGACATAATGTACGCTGATAAGGCAACAAGGAATAGACAAAAAATCAATAAGGACGTGGACTTCTGAAACTCAGTCCAAATACAAGCATGAGAGGTACAAAAATTAAATTAAATCCACTGTACGGTCATTCAGAAGGTTAAGGAAGTAAGCTTTTCTTCTGAAGTCAGGGTAAGCAAACATATGTTCTCGATAATTCATCTTCAGGCTCATACAATAATATGCAAAATCAAAATCAAAATGTAGTCAGACATTATAAGTCGTTACTAGTGGAGCGAGTTAATTGGTTGCTGACAGCGCTGTCTGTTAAGCCACGACAATCGACCGCGTGTGACCTCGTGGGTTAGAGTTCACCGGCCGTTTGGGCCAGGGCAGTTCCAAGCCTTTAATTAGCTTCTTTTGAACACATAGCTCGGGTTCATACAGCCTGATCGCAATTGCTTCAGCGACTTTTAGTAATTGCTTACGGAGGCAGTTCGAGAGGTGCTTTGGGGCCTGATAGATTAGTTTGAATGAATCGCTGAACTTTGTCACGTGCCCTGTATCGGCTAGGTGCACGACTATTGATGAGTTCGCTGTATTTCCACTTCTATTTATAAGCCCGACCGGGTGGTGTTCCTTCATTCTCTCGGATAGACGCCATGTCGTACGACCAATGTTTTCCGCTCCACAGGAGCATGAAAATGAGTCGATACACAATGAGTTGGTGTGGACAGGCCTCTTATCCCTTGAGTGTAGTCTCACCATCGGAAAGCTAGTGAACTGGATTTGCATTTGCGCTGCTAGATAGGTGCGTCTGAGTGAAACGGAAGACGACGAGATAAAACTGCCGTCTGAACTTTGCCCTTGTATGACAGCTGTAGGTGGATTGGCTTACGTTCTACTGTCAAAACTACAGGCTTTTTCTTCTTATGTTCCATGTTGGCTCCGATGGTGCTTTCCGGATAGCCGTTCTTCCTTAACACTAAGCGAATGCACTCTAATTCTTCCGCAAGCGTGTCATTCGAGCAGATACGTTCAGCTCGGCTCTCTAGGGTATTTATCAAGTTCCGTTTAAACCTAAGTGACACGAAGATGTAGAAGTTTGTGCACTGCCCATTCCACGTACTTTTCCTATAGACGCAGCGCTGTCTTTTTCATGCCGACATCAAGGAAATGAAAGCGACCGTTTTCCTCCACTTCGCTGGTGAACTTTATTGCTGGATGGCCTTGGTTGAAAGTGTTTGTTAGTTCATCGATACTTCGAGACGACTGAAGCAAGACAAAAAGTCGTCCACGTAACGGCAATATAAACCGAGACTTGAGTTCGTTGGCTTTGGCTTTCCCTGTTCCAGCATGCCCATGAAGATGTCGGCTAGCAACGGACCCAGTGGAGAACCCATCGTTACCCCATCGCACTGCCGGTATAATTCGTCATTGAATAGCAACTAAACATTGAACGTGCATCTGAGCAATAGTTCCTTCAGGATCATCGTGGGTATGCAAACTTTGGGACACTCTTCGAAACAGTTGTCTGGGCCCAACCCTAGCTATTTGCCATTGACTCTTGGATATTGCGCTCATTTCTCTATATTATGTACGAAAGTGTTGGGGAGTTTATGCTGGCGCTGTATTTCAGAAATTTTAAGAAGGCCAGAACGAACAACGTTTGTACTAGATAAGCTAAATTCAGCCCACGTCTTATCACTCAGCCGCTTACAGAATAATAGTGGGTAGAGCAATTGAATGCAATTAAAAATGAGTTCAATAAGGGAATTATTAAAACTGTGAGAAAACCAAGGTTCAAAGCCTCTGTCTTAGCAGGGCAAAGCAAGGCTGGCCAGAGGTTCGAGCTGTTTGCAAATGTTAGATTTCATTCGCCGTATGGCAGATGACTTAGCGAAACGAAACAAGCTCACGTTGTTCTGTTTACTGATAACTTTGAATGAGCCATGCGACTTTTTACAAGTCGCCATAGAGCAGATGCTGAGTGACTGAGCACTGTCACTAGTTTTCAAATTCCGTGGAATATGTTCTATGATCCTAATTGAAAGCCTTCTTTCAGTTCGGCCAATGTACGTGGAACCGTAAGTACAAGTAAACTGGTAAACACCTGTGGCGGTGACATGTGAGTGAAGCCATTCGTCGAGCTAGCATATAAAGGGGACAGAACGACGGCAGTTCCTGCTACCGATCATGCCAAGCCATAAACTATTGCTTCTAAGCAGCTGAGCCGTGTGTAACAATGCGAGTTCAGCAACATGTTCCATGAATCCGATTTGGATGAGCCTCACTTTCAGGTTACTGCCTCTTGTGTTTACCATTTCATCTGTAGTTATGCTAGCACTGCAATGGCTAAACCGAGAGGAAGCCATCAAGTAGGATCAAGGAATATGTTCCAGGAAATTTGGCAAATGGTTGAGCTAAACTTCCTGCCAGCTCAATTCCTCTACTTCTGCTCGAGTGCACCTTGTGGGAAAACACACATGTCTCATTCAAGTTTATAAGCATATAGTATAAACAAGCCATTCTCCACCGGGGCCACAAAGAATTGCCGAAGGAGGCACTGGGATGAGAAAATGTTTAGAATGACCATGTAGATTGTGCTAACACAAATAAAAATGTTCATGTAGAAATACTTTTCTGATAGTTTCTCTCCGCGCACTAATCATTCCTGGTAACTATATGTCAGTGAAAGGAATTACGCGCACACCAGTGTCTGTTAATGAAGGTGTGAGAACCAGGCTGATCAGACTTTCTGTTGCGGAGCTGGCATCGCTCCGCCAAACTTGCGCAGATTTCGCCGGGCTCAGCTCAAACCTACAATCACCACATGTCGACTTAGAGTGCGCAACTAACAACCGATTTGTCCTCAGCACTTTGATGCCTATCCACAGTGAAGCAACTGAGCTGTACACAGAATACTGATGCATCTATTGTACAAACGGCAGTGAATCTAGCGCACACTCGTCAGTACACTGCGACAGTTACGGTGCGAAGTCACCCTGACACTAACTGAGTTCACCTCAGGACACTATCATGGTGTGACAACTCATGTGTCAATCAGTCTTCCTCGTTCGTGTCTCAATGCAGTATCGCTAAGTTGCCTATTTTTCGTCTCCACTTTCAGCTGGTAGTGTTGCACCAGTCTGTATTTCTAATGGTTTTAATCAAACGCTTTTTATCAAATCGTTGTTGTGAAAACATTTTTAACTGATATTTAGATTGGTGGGTCATTGCTGTTTCAGCTAGCGTGTAGGTCTGGCGGCTAGGTCATGATAGATCGCAAGGTTCCGAATTCGAGTGGTTAGTTTGCGCGCATGGGGTACTATCTTACGTTAGGATATCCGGTTCCTTTAGTGAGTATATATAACATAAAGTGTAAATAATGATTGTTCTCCTTATACTTATAATAATCAAATGCCTTGCTAGCACGCATCTGGCACCATGTTTGGCAATAGCTGATGAAACTTATTCGCTTCATTGTTGACACTCCCATGCCGGTTTTTTGTAAATTCCGGCACTTTATTCCGTGCTTGTTTCTCCTGGGCTTCATTTTATCTATTACCATTGTTTGCTGCAAATTACCTTTAATATATGTGTCTAGCGAGTGTTGTTATTTTCTGAAATTCAGTTGGTTGTCTTCATTGGCTTCTGTCATGAAGTCTTTTCTATAATTTTAGCCATGCTCAAATATCAACTTTGGGCTGCTTCTAACAGTATTTCTGCACTTTTATATTTTTAACATTTTAGCCACCAAAAGGCGTTACAACTGTACTTGTCAAACGTATTTTCTTATAATCTTACGGTCAAGCAAGACGATATGTAATGCAATCAGGTATTCATACTAACTGCGTGTTTCGCCTTGCCGAATGACTTCATAAATACCAATGAGATAAACATGTAAGAAAAAGGAAACAAAAGCAGTATATATATATATATATATATATATATATATATGATTTGACGGCGTTCGTATCCGAATTTGCCTGTCACTTTTGCCTCCATGGGGACAGACACAGAATGCCTGCGCCTACAAAGGGGACCATGGGTGGCTGGTGCTGCACCACCCATAGTTCTACCCACACACCCCATATCCGGTGTAAACCCGAAGGAATAAGACCTGGAGGCAAGTGAATGGGTGCCACGTTTCATCAAAGGAGCCGGCCCACACTCCTTCAACAAGCAGAACGGAAGCATTCGGGCCTAAATGGGAAATCATACACACCAGACGAACACGAGGCAGTGGCTGGACCGTAGCCCGTTTCACACAGGATAGAACCACCCTTCAATCCTAGCACGGTCATGAGGACGGTGCACCCCGCCCCCATCAGCAACGACCAGCTGTCTCCTGGAGCCAGTATGGACGAGGTAGTGGGTA